TGAAATTGGACAAACATGGAGTCTACCTGGGGGGAATGAAAGACACAACCAGGGGGACAGGAGTGGGATGGAGGGAGGGTGGAATTGGGATGAGTGTTACAGCAGATGGATTTAACGCTGGTCACTGGCCCATTTCTCCTTCTTTCTTGGTATAGCATTTTCATAGCTAGCCTATCTCAACTAAACTCTTTAGCTAAACTCTTTTGGCTTCTCCGTCACTTCCAATAGACTCCCTTCCTCTTTTTTGTGGGGTGGCTGTGGCTCACAAGGTAGGGCAAGTCGTCTTCTGACCAGCAAGTTGGTGGTTTGACTCCCCGTCTCCCTGTCGTCATTGGTGTGTGTGAATGGTGTATGATCTCCCTGTAAAGCGCTTTGGCCAGTGCAACACACTGTGAAAATGCGCTATATAAATACAGTCCATTTACCATTTTTCTAACTCCTGACTGATCCTTTGCAGATCTCCTACTGTACCACTGAATGTGGCATGCTTTGCAGTTTTCCCCATCTCTATCTAATGCAGATTCCTTGTCCCTTTGCTTTCCCTTATCCAGAACAAGGAGGCCTAATACAGCCAGAGCTCACTCAAACACCTTGCATGCATGACTTGCCTGCCTCCCTGGTTTCTTGCTGCTTTTTAACTGAGATCTAATTCTCTTCCTCTCCTGTTCTAACTCTGTTATCTGTAACAAAATGCTCTATTTTGAGGCGATGTGAGACTGCTGTTTCTCACCTCACTTCCTCTAGTGGGGAGCCATAGGGTATGTAAAAGACAAGCTCTCAAAGTTTAGCTGACTTTCCCTGAGAGCACAGCACTGGGGTTATCAGGCTTGAGTTACTAGTCAGATACACCTACACCCAAGGTCTGAGATTGTGTCATTGCCTAGCTACAAGATACAAACAGCATCAGCCAAGAACAGACTGTCTAAATGTCTAACCAGAGAAATGGGCATAGTGCAGTCTGGTTTTTTTTTTCACACCAACCACAGGTTGACATAAAATTTTCAGACAGATTTTACAGCTTTGCAAGTTTCCAGGCTGCAAGTGGAGACAGTGATCTGTCACTACACAGATACAAATCTGTTTATGTTTGACAGAATATGTCTTTTTGATTCTACTGGCTAAACTGTTGATGGCTCTGAAATGTATCCATTAGTGCAGAGAAGTTCGGTTTTTCCAAGTATCTCTGTTCACAAATGTCAAGAAACATGACAGACATAGCAGAATGATTCTAAACAGATCTGACCCTAATACCGAACCCCAAGGCTCATAAAGTAAATTGTCTACATACATGTAGTATTGTATTTTACTTACAAGTGTCCAGTGTTTGATTGTCTAGTCATAGCAATAGATAAGAACTTGTTTTGATTATGAACCATTTTCTAAGCTAGTGTGGTTTTTGAAAGCTTAAATTCTTGTGCTGAAGTCTCACTGCTGAGTCTCATGCTCTCTTGAGTTGTTTTCCTGTGAGATTTGAACCATGGGTTAGTGGAAAAGATGTGTAATTGTGTGATGTAGGTGTAGATTATCAAGCAAAAAGGGCAATGCAGTGAGCGTGTTTAAGCATCTGCATATCATTAAATTGTGGGTCTACAGTGTTTCCAAAGCAGCGATGCAACACTCACAAAGGTTTTGATACTTGTGAGTGCTGCATCCCCTCAGGCTTGCTGAATGCACCCCTTACCTCAGATAAACACTATTGTCCATCAACAGTAAAGCTCTGATGGGGACCAGAATGCTCAATTCAAACAAGAATTTACATGAAGCATAAATGTGTCAAATGTTGCAACTAAAATACAGCACATTACAGTTCAGTGACATCAGCTTCACACTTTCACTTCCATGCAGATGCAGTACATTTAGTTAAATACGCTTCCCCCCATTTACAGTATGTTTGACTGTTTTGGTGTGTTAGTGGGCCACAACCTGCATTGGCAGGTCTGGGGAGTTGGGCAACACACAAACAGATCATTGTAGTCGAACGTCCTGTATATGCTGTAATGTGCGCTAGTAAATGTAGGACTCAGATATGATGGAACAGGTAAACTAAATATGTGGTATAAAGGCTTTATATACCCCCAGCAGTTTAGCTGTCAGTGTTGAGTCAAGGTATTAATAAAGAATTGTTTTAATAAGCAAAATGAGTGATGGAACTGTAGCTGAAGTCCTGTCATTGCTCATCTCCAGTAATATGCATACCTTGCAGATAAAGAAAGAGCCTCTCCTGAGAATGGCCAAGTGTCTCACAGCCATAAGCAACAGAGAATAAACAGCTAGAAAAAAAAGTCACTTGATAGGAGGGAATTAAAACTTGAAAACCTTAAATGTTTTTGGCAGGTATTATATGGGTGCTCCATATAATACCTGCCAA